ACTGAATTGTGTTTTTTTTTTTTTTCATCTTAAAACGGGAGTGAAACATAGCAAACTTTAGAAAGACTGTAGTCACGACCTTTTCAAATAAGAAACATCCTCTTCATGGTCCAAGTTTCTAAGTGTTATGTAGTTTAAATACATTGGTGTAACTCTCACAGCAGATTTAAAATGGCACACGCACTTTGAAACAATCTGCAACAAGCTTTTCAAAAACTGTGGTGTCTCCGACGCATGTTCAGCAACTTGACAAAAGAATGTTGACTGACTGCACATAAAACTTCGGTGAGATTCGAATATGTGTTGGTTGTTTGATGGACCCGCCACAATTATGTTAGAAACTGTTTTTAAAAAAAAGGTAATAGTGCTTATACTTCGTTGCTATAACCAACTTGTTCGCCTATTTCGCATGCACATGTTCTATCACTGCAGCCCCTCTCGAACATTAATCGTCGCACTTGAAATCGTGTCATCCTGCTGCGTAAATAAGATAGTTCACACCGGTTCGAGTGTTCTGGCACCCATATCCATGGTCACGTCTTCCAAAAATTGTGCCCGTCTGATCAATTCAGAATTGTTTTCGTTTTCTTTTGTTTGTTTTCCACTTTTCTGCAGAACGTGCATTTTTGGAATGAACTTAAAGGGTATCTGCGCAGACTCGGTGCTGAACAATTGAAAAAAAAAAAATTGCGTAGGCATGCATTTTTTTCAAGGTCCTGAACAATTGTATTTACACATGTGATGTGTGGAAAACTGAGATAGCAGTCTTTGTAAATAAATAACATGAAGACAAGCTGCTACTACAGTAACTGTTCTGCCTTTTCAAGACATTTTTTTTTTTTTTTAAATTCAAGGGACAAGTTATTGGCGCATGGTCTAGGCTTCCACAAGCGGAGGTTATGCCACGCGGTCTCGATTCGAGTGCTTCCAGGGGGCAGGCTTCATCGCCTTCGTCGCCACCGACGCTGCCTTGCTCCGACGATCGCTGATCTCGAACTCGCATGGGTGCGTTGGCGTATATCTCAAAGCCCAAAAGCCGACTCCACTAAAACAGATGACGCTGTAGTTCAGGAAAGTCAGATGGTGGTGGTGGTGATGATGCTATGAACCACGGTCAACTAAGGCTCTAAAACATTGCTGTGTTGCCATGTTTTGTCGACGACAGAAAGACTTCATTGGCAGTCTTAAAATGACGTCGGCTGCATAGTTGACAGGAACCTGAGGTGGGAAACTGAAATTGTGCTTTTTTATGTATTCGTTGAGCACAGACGATCAAATGAGTCGAGGTATAACATTGAATGGACTGTCAGAATTCTTAAGGCACACGTAGTTTATAATTTTTGGAGAACGTTTCACAACCCTTTTAAGGGATTACAAGCGTACAGTAACTCATAAAGCAAACTACACTGGGTATTTCCAAGCAATACATTCACTTGCCTGGATATTTCAGCTTTGCTGAAATAGCCACACCACCCAGGAGAGCGAGAATTCGATAGTGGGTTATCAGTGTATGCTCGAATACAAATCAATAGCAGTGCGGCTTTTCATATTCAAAGGACTACCCTTGAGCCAATAGTGTCACTGCACCAATGTGTCGTCGCAACCAACCGCTTTGACCCAAGCTTCTACGAGTGGTCCGTGCCATAAAGTAGTTCCTTTCAACGCCTTCATTTTGAGCAAAGATAAAAAAATTTCAACTTTTATTTTGCCATTGGAATAAACAAGTGAAAGAGTTTATTGGACAACAGGAGTAGTTAATGGTTGCTTGATTGCTGACTGTGAATTTTGCTCTTCAGGTTTTCCCTCAACCACCCAATTCTGGTTCAGCAGATTGCCTGCTCTCTTTTTAGCCATGGAGCTTGAAGAGGTGACATCGAAATGTGCTTTATCGCTCTCACATAAGGACTGCAGTTCATTACCATCCACCCGATGCCAATGGTGACAGCCACTTTGTTTTGCACAGGGTATTGAAGTGCCAATAAATCGCGCAAATATTCTAGTATGCATGATGCCAGCTGTTTCCAGGCAGCGCCGAGCCCTTACACGAATGACGAAACACCATGGCGATCACCATCACAAAACACTGCACACAAATCGCAAACAAGTCTTTTCATGCAATTCAAATTGCTATACGAATGACAAGTCAGCTTGCAAGAGCGGGATCCCTAATGACAGCGATGGACTGTCACGGACAGATGTGGCCATTATTGTTGAGGTTTGTAAGTGCAGAACACTCTTTTTTACCTCTCTCGTGACAGCGGCACCTTTGTGCCGCTGTCGCAAGAGAAATAGGTGCTGCTCCTCTTGACTTGTAAACAAGTATAGGACCATATGAGCCATCGAAAGCTTGAAGCCAGAGTTTAAGGATTAAAGGCGACAAGAGGCTACCTCGTGATTAACAGTGCGAGAAAAAAACTTTTAAATCTAGTCACTGCACCGTCAAAAAATTTCAAACTAAAGAATATTTAAATTATTAGAACATACAGAAGAAAGACCCATAAAACACCTTGGATTATTGAAAGTATAATCAAAGGTGCTCGTTTACAGTGTCCTCCATGGTTGTGCTTTCTTGCAATACCCTATCTCGATTTTGCCACAAATGTGAGGAAATGATGAGCCACAAAGAAATGCTACATAACTATGTTGATGATTTATAGGTGAACCACCCCAGCCTTGCTGCTGCCAGAGCAAAAGAGTGCCGTCACTGCCCTGCAAACAGCTCAAATGAGCGCTTGCAAAGAGAACAATGTCTTTCAGTGCAGCACAGCAGTCACAAATGAGCAGCATGACACATGTTTCTTGCAGAATCAGTGAAAACTATGCAACCCTTCATTCTCAAAAGAAGGAAAGAAGTACTTGAAGCTGGTCTGATGGAATTCATGATGTATGCTGAGTGGAAAACATGACCAAATTAAGTTTTTGCAGCAGGAAAACACTTTGCCAGCAGTTTCAGTGCACAAGGTACTTGAGCAAGTGCGAACCAGAGGTCTGTAAACACTGCAAATTCTATCCCACCAGCCTTTTCATTTTCCCAGAAAAAATAGCCAAATGGTTGCATAATGACATGCTGACTCTAGAAAGATCATGTGATGCGTTGTGTTGCAATGAAGCACATCTCTGCAGGGTCATATCAGTTGTGCGCACTGTGGACCGTGGATTCTTTCTCTATGTTTTTGTGTGTGTATCTGTGTTTTCGCATGCTGGCAGCGACATGGCTGGGGTGCTCCAGGCATTAATCATTGGCCTCTCTACATGGCATTTGTTGTGTTGGGGCAGAAGTGCTGGCGTAACCACGCGTAAACACAACACATAGATCGAGCTTCGGCAATACTGACTGGAGACTGCTCTCTCCCGCATTTATTATGGTGTTCATGAGGGTGATTCACCAGCGTGACGAGTCACACGACCTAAGCAGCCACGCCAAGTAGACTAAGAAATGGGCATGGTGGGGGCGTAGCTCTACCTAGTGGCATGTAAGCGAACTTAAATGCACTGATGGACTTACATCACCCCAGGGGTCCCACGACACAACAGCATTTTTCATAAGACCGTCATATTCCTGGGTTTGCAGCAATTTAAGAATTGGGAATTGCCTCTTAGCATCAAAAAACTTTTAAGCAACCAGACTGTCATAGGCTGCTGCTTTAAATTATTAGATCAGATTTGCATTAGAAAAAGTGAGACCACAGAGAGTCTTCAGGCTAGACAGGATTTTAAAAAAATGGGCCTGTATCATGTGTATGTCATGACAAGTGATAAACAAAGGTGTTTCCACTATGTTTATCATGACAGGGGTGATGTCATGCCAGTGGAAGAGCCTAGGATGTGCAGCTTGTATTTCAAGTAAACACGAAACACATGCAGGAGACTTGCCAATTCACACCGTTAGAAGGCACTGGCCAGTCATGCTCATATGGTATTGTAAAAAATCAGTTGACCATCATTCACACGAGCACATGCAGCCCCCTTCATTCTCTCACTTATGTTTTAATAACCCTGTCACATGAGCTAACTCAAGTGCACCTTGAACATGGGTGCAAACACTAGTGCCATTCACACACAGTCACATGAGAATGCTTAGTGTTACTTGCTGCAGATTACACCCGATGGCAAGCTAGTCTAGCGAACTCACTTTGCAGGATAAAAAGCATGTGGCCTCGATAGCAGCGGCCCAAAGATAAATAAAGCAATATTTAAAGCTCAGTTAGCAGGATCTATACACCATGAGGACTGGCGTCAAGTTTATAAGAATTATACAACGTCCATGGCTTCTCAATGTAAGCAAAGTGAAACATTAACTTACAAATACTAATGCAGTATCGGGACCAGATTTTTATTGTTTTCTACACTGTGTTATCATGTGGCATAATATATTTTCTGATGATTTAACTGAGGATTAATATGTTTTACTTAAGAAATACAAAGCAGAGAAACAAAGTTCCATATTATCATATAGGTACTATTGTGTATAACTCACACAATTACAATTATTTTCAGGAGAAAGAAAAATCCCCAGGTATGCCACACAGCTAGCTTCCTTGGATAGCTGTAAAACACAGCCGAGAAACCACCTTCGCAAATTGCAATTTGCATTTTTTGTCATGACTTTACCTCTAAATTATTGAAAAAAGTTTTTACAAGTTCTCGTAAGTGATAAAATAATGCATTTCTTTCTTATACAGCAGTAACTTTTATAGGACATTGCAATGAAAATTAAAAATACTTCATATTAATGGAAGTTTAATCTAAAATTTTTATTACAAAATGGAATATAATGAAATAACAAATGCACTAGGACAAGTAAGAATCCTCTTCAAATCACCACAAAAACCTGAAATCCCCACATGTACCTGAAACTTCAAGGTTAAGCTTAATAAAAGTGCTCTCTGAATGGACACAAACTAAATTTGTCTCCAAATCCAACCCCTACACTTTTCTTGCTTTCTCCTGTGATGGGCAGTTCAGCATAGAAATTGAACACTCTCACCAATCTTTCTCACCTTTCAACATCATCAGGAGAGAGAACAGTGCCATCAGAAAACAATGCGAATTTGCTTGTCTGCATCTTGGCATCGATTGTTTGTTTAGTCTTCATCATTGACTGCAACATCTGGTCGACTTGTCTCCCATCCTCCTGTCAATAAAATATGAGGAATAGTTTCTTTGACACGTCATACCACAGAGCCATCAGCTTCTTCGGATAGCGACAGGTAAAAACAGTATAAACAATAACATAATCAAACTTCTTGTATAAATTGAGCTTACAAGGTAGATCTAAATAACACTTGAAATTTCTATTTAAAATCAAAAGAAAAAGCTATCCTAGAAATAAGTAGATATATTGACTATTTCTAGTAGGGAACAAATGATTTACAAATAATTTACTGCAGCACTTAAAGGGGGTCAACACCATACTTTGACATAATAGGGAGGCGGTGCACTGGGACGAACCTTTGTCTCCTTTGAAAGCGAAACCTGCTCCGGCCTACGCTCACTGCATATTTGGTGTGATGTCCCTGCAACTTTCGCTTACCTTCCTACAAAGTTAGGACAGTTCTGGACACACTTGTGATGGGCTTTGGCCCGGAGAACGTGCATTTAGTTACACTTTGGAGGTTAATTTAAATACATTTTAAAGGTTTGCTGTGTCCAACCTGTGGGAATTGAGGCTAGCCCGCTGCCTTTGCACGGGCTTTGCTGCCCCTTTCTCCGTTCACATGTCCGGACATGACTCCCCACCTCCGCTGTCTGCCACGCTGGTGGAGCGAAAAGTGACATTTAACCCCTCTCACCTGGTAAGCAGATGTCGACTGTGGCGCCACGCGCAAAATCTCTCGACACGTTTCGCGCGTGCGCATCGGGAGTGGAAGAGAACCTCTCCGGAACGACATGGAATAAGCACGCATTTTTTTCCCGTTCGTCGACTCCCTTTGTTTGGGGCTCGTTCGAACTTCGCCAACGATGCCTTGCGCCCACGGTGAACGCTTACCTTTTGTCGCACCCCCTTTCGAACGCTAGGCCGAAGAGCCGTGCGATGTCCAAATGCATTGTCATACTACGCCGACCCGTACTTTTCAGAAGCTCAAGCGAGCGGAGTTTTGCCCTCGCTCGAGCAACTGGGCCCGTTTGTCCCGGTGTCCCCGTGAATCACTTTTGCCCACAGAGACGTGCTCGTGGCACCCTGCGTGGTACTTCTCACCCGTGGCATGGATAAGCCCATTTGCTTTCCCGCTGCGCTTTTTGCAACAGGCTCAGTACTGCGTTTTGATGTTGCCACAGACAATAAAGCTTGCGACCTTGAGTAGTACCGTGTTCTCGCCATGGCAATGGTTAACCAGTGCCCTGCGGCTCGCTAAGGCTGGGCCCATGCTAGTGGCCGTATTCCTTTGGGATACGTGTACACTACAAACCATTCGTGTGGAGTGTCCTAGCATACAGAGGTAACCCGCAAGAAGCTTCTTTTAGCCTCGAAATTTGGTGGCAACATCCCTTAAAGCAGGACATGGCTGCGCACACTGGTACTATGTACATAGTTAAGAGACACTAAAATGGACAATTATTTGTTTTTGTTTTTTACAAGTATATTACTCATTCGTGATGCGAAAAACACTACGCTTGCTATGAGAAGATGCTAGATAAGCGAGAAAACAAGTAAAAAGGAAATGCAGGTGACGATGCCTCCTTGAGGTTCTTGCACCAATCAATGTGATATCTACAAGGGCCTACTTGCTTGCTGAGCTATTACAATTCTATGGTGGTTAAATTAACTAGTCTAGAGTTTTCATTATATAATCAGTGATCCCACTGGGGACAGCCGATTAGGAGCAATTTTTGGAGCAGTCAAATTTTAGTTTTGGAGCACTTTGGAGCAGTAAAATTTTAGTTTTGAAGCACCTTAAAGTAGTAAAATTTCAGTTTTCGGGCACTTTGGAGCAAGTGATCTTGATTTATATGTGGGGTTTAACGTCCCAAAACCACCATATATAACCACCACGCTGTAGTGGAGGGCTCCGGAAATTTCGACCACCTGGGGTTCTTTATCGTGCACCCAAATCTGAGCACACGAGCCTACAGTATTTTCGCCTCCACCGAAAATGCAGCCGCCGCAGCCGGGATTCGATCCCGCGACCTGTGGGTCAGCAGCCGAGTACCTTAGCCACAAGACTACCGCAGCAGGGCGAGCAAGTGATCTTGTGATTAGGAGCATTTTGGAGCAGGCAATCTTGCAATTAAGAGCATTTTGGAGCAATAAAATTTTAGTTCTGGAGCATTTTAGAGCAGGTAATGTTGCTATTAAAAGCATTTTACAGCAGTAAGAATTTAATTCTGGAGCAGGTAATCTCACTATTAGGAGCACTTCAGCATAGGTATACAGTGAAACCTCATTATGATGAAGTTGAGGGGAGTCGTAATCAGTAAAAAGCTGGATATAACGAAAGTGATAAATTCCCAGAAAAATTTTCATAAAGAGAATTTTGTTATATGCAGCTTCGGTACGAAAATTCGGAAAATAAACGTACAAATTAAATGAGAGACCGAAGGCAGATCTAACCAAAAACACCTAATTTACAGTAAAAAACTGTGTTATTGCGATAGAAATTATATGGACACTCTTGGCGGGTTTTTGCCGCTGCCGCCATTTTCCGTAACTAGTCCAAATTGACAACATACCTCTGCGCATCGTAACTTTCATGAGCGGGTAAAAGCGCGCGAGCGCTACTGAAGCAGAGATCATATGAGTCGGCCTATCTCTATCGGCTGGAAAGTGCATAATATCTCCCGCGTGTTAGAACTGCCGAATGCTCAAAAAAAAAAAAAGCAAATCACCAGTCTTGAACCAGCATGAAACAATGCGGGGAAAGGTGGGGGTTGCTCGAGTACCAATAATAAACTTGGATTTCAATGGTGGTCGCGATCGCTGGCACACTTGCTATCTCGGCGAGTATGAGTGCATTTTCAACGCGAAGAGACAGTGTGAAAAGAGCATTTCACCCAGGAGCGGCCGTATTTGCTCACACCAGCGTTTTGTAGGTGTTCCGCGATATCGGATCCCAAAGAGTTGGCTGCCAGCCTTACTTCTTATGGCATTACAATTTTTTGCTATCGCATTGCATTCAGCGCGCCGCCGTGTTTGCCAGAACCAATCGGCTAGTCTCAAAAGCTAACAGCCTGCGAACTCACGGCGCAAGACGGAAGCGCGTGACTAGTTGACCTCCAAAGAGTCGTCGTGTCGGAGAGTTTCGATCAGCACTTAATCTGACATCCCCTTGGTGGTGACAACACGGTTGTCCGAAATTAAGAAAGGTTAGCTTTGCCGCAAGGGCGAAGCAATGAATGCGTAACAACAACTTGGAATGTAATGCTGAGAATGGCAAGCACATCGAAACGTGCAGCGCGCTGCTCACGCACGAATGATGCACGAAAATAACATACTGTTAAGTTTGGCCTGGAAATTCGTCTGGGCAGACGCCATGGTGCGTAAGCCGGTCCTATGGAAAGGCTCTCAATCCCTTCGGCGCCCAGTCTGACAGACGCTGTCTAAGATTTCAGCAATTATCCAGACCATGCGGCAAGCAAAGGCGAGTTCCCGTCTTTCAAATGCGGACCCTTTTGTCGTCTCTTCGAGCAGAAGCGGTGACTGATGCCCTCAGCGACTCATCGGGCGACGGGGGAAGCTGGCGTGACCGGCGCCAGAGCTGACAGGAGAGTGGCGCTCCTTTTAATCCCCAATAAAGTAGACGACCGGCCGGCTGCCTGTGCCCGCCAGGCATTGTCCCTGCTAGCCGGAGGATGAGACGTCCTGTCGTCACGACGCCACGACGAGGGAGGACAACAAAGAAAGCGTCCTCCTGGAAAAGACCGCGGCGGCCACCGAAGATCGCCCCGCTAATTGGGCGAGCTGTGCGGCGGACCCTTTGAAATATGCTGCCAAGATCGTGGGAACTCTCGACTAGCGGCACACACACGACGAGGAAGAGCCCTGCTGGCGCCACCTTGCAGTGCAGTGTTCACAACTCAAAATTGGACGTTCACGTAGACCGTGCATGCTCGTCCCCCTCACCTGTTGTGTGTGTGTGTGATTGGTGTTCCACTCAGAGAGGAGGAGCCCGACAGGGCTTAAAACGACGCCGCAGAGTGCTGGACGTCGCTCTGAACTATGTAACGTTCAACCACCACGCTCGTGGGTTGTAAAACCCCTAACCGTTCTTTTCTGTAAATATGTGTAAATAGTGACATAAACCTGTTTTGTTTTTCGTATCCTCCAGCGTCCTTCCTTCCGAACCTTAACAATACACAAGACGAGAGCGAACCAACAACGTTTGCCGCTCGACACTTAACGTGCTATTTAAGCATACACAAGTCACGAAACGTAATCACAGTCACAGATATGAGTGCAAATTAACAAGTACCCCATTTATTACTTCGCTGTACTAGAAAAGCGCACTCTTTTCCAAACGGTGCCTGTACACCGAGCGAAGTGGTCTTTGTGTGCCCGGCAACTAAGCGCAATTGTACTGGTCAAAGTCAAAGGCACGCGATTCTCCCCACCGACGGATAAGCGCGCCCACAAGCATCCCCCCCCCCCCCCTGCCGCCCAATCGCGGGGCAAAGTACGCGTGGGAGATAAGCGCACTTCGGCGCATCGCGACAAGCAGGGCGCTGAACGCGTGCGTATTTCAAAGATGATAGTCTTTCTTGGGAACCTTCGACGGAAAAATTTTGGTCTGTTTGTCTGTACAGTTTTTTTCTTTCTTGAGTACTCATCTATTTGGATACGTTTACATATACGGTCAATAATGACGGCAGTGACGATGGCAAAAAAAAAACAGTCGATACTTCATATAATCGCAATTAAAAAAAAAGCAAAAGCTGAACATCGTCCGGAGCCGCACCATGCAAGCAGTGAAACTACGCGTGCGCGCACGGCGTCGAAAACGAAGAGCGAACGACACGGACACAGACACCGCGGAAAACTGTTCAGTTAAGTGCCCTCCATACGCAGCGCAGGGCCCACATATGTGACGCTAACTAAAAGCGTGGCACTGACAATGCACGAAAGTAGGTTTTTTTTCTTCTTTTTTTTGAGTGGGGGGGGCACACCGGCGCATGTGCCCGCGGAGGCGAGAGCTGCGG